TTTCACTGTGTCTGTCTCACCCTGCAGCCCAGAGCCTCATGTCCTCATCAGTTCAGCAGCCGTGTCATCTAGGGAGCTTCTTGTTGAGTGAGGAAGGCAATAGCAAGGCTTACATGCCACACGTGGGACAAGAGCAGACGACTACACAGGGTGGTACTCAGGCTTAACTGTGTCCCCAAAGCTCAGGTGTTGGAAACTAAGCCCCCAGCACATCCATGTTGGGAGGTGGTCTGATCAGAAGGGATCAGGTCACGGGGTACAGGACTAATGTCCTTACCATGGAGGTTCTGTATCTTCACAGTGGAGTGTCCGCCCTTCCCTGCTTTTCCTTCTCTGCTTTCTGCTGTGGGTGACCCAGCATGAAGGCCCTTGCCAAATGTCATCGCCAGGCTCCTGGGCTTCCCAGTCTCCAGAACCATAAGCCAAATCACTTCTTGTTCCTTGTACATTACTTGGTGTCTCATGTACTCTGTTACAGCAGCAGCAGATGAACAAAGACAGATGGCAGAGATGGGAGCTCGGGCTCTAAGTTGTCAATAGGCTTACATGCCTTGGGCTTTGCAGGAGGCTGAGGGAAGACAACCGAACAGACAGGCACCAGTGGGGTCCTGAGTGGGCCGCCTGCATTGCTGGTCAGTGCTTCTGGGGCACCCCCCATTTCACTGAGCTCCGAAGTCCTCATAGCTCAAAGAGTTCGTGAACTCCTGGGAGAAAGGCCTTCCTGACTCACTGGTTGACTTCTGGGCCTCATCTTTCTCCCCTCCTGGTTTAACATCAACACCCCAGAGACTGCACTAATCGGATCTGTGCTCTGGGTCCACTTTTTCTCTCACTCTCTGGAGTCCCCTGTGCCGGGGCCACCACTGAGGTTAGACTCTGTGGTGACAACTAGACCAAGGCCTACAGAGGGGCAGGAGTCAGTGTGCTGTGCAGCAGTGGGCCCATGGCCCAAGACTGGGGCTGAGCAAGTCAGCCAGGACTGGACTTCAGTCAACTGTGCTCCCCCTGGAAATCCCCCTCCCAACCACAAAAGCTCCTCTAACATTGGACCAGGATGTGACTGGGAATCAGGGGTGTAGAAGTTCCCCAAATACTTTCAAAGCTGAAGCTGAGAATCACCACTTAAGAAGGAAATAGGACATAGAGAAATACACAGAGCACCCCATTTTGGGGGCCCTGAGTCAGTGTCCCTAAGATTAGAAAGCATGGGGAATCACCACCCCACCCTGTCTGAGAACCAGGGCCACCTTTGGGAGCCAGGAGGGGCTTGGAAGGCTTGGGGAGACACAAGTGACCCTGTCTCCAGCCCATGCAAGCTATTGGCAGTGGCCCTGTCTCCAGCCCCTGCAAGCTATTGACAGATTCCAACCAGGATGGGCAGGGTGGCATCCACCAGGCTACAGTCACAACTTCGGTGGGGCTACCTGGGTTGTGTTTTATACCAACTTGCTAAGCTATATGTTTATGTCTTAAGCACTTTTGTATTTGTTTATTTCACACACACACACAAAAAAAGTTTAGCTTGAAAGTTTTTTATCCACTATCTTACAATGAAGTAGAAGGAAATAAACATTGTATTGAGCCCAGTCAGTCTTCCCGAGAGCTGGTTTCCAGGTCCCCAGGACTTGGCCCCAGTGTGAAGCAGAGCTGTTCAAAGTTCAGATGACCACAGCATCCTTGGATTCTGGGATGGGCAGGCACTGTCCCCAGGGCAGCCAGAGCCAAGAACAGCCCCTGAGGAGATCTCAGGCTGCTGTGTGCACCATAGACAACAGCGCTCCATGAACACCAGGCCCAGGCAGGGAGCCTGGACCCTGAGTTTCAGCTCCGGGAGTAGCAGCCTGCACACAGCTGATACACAGCCAGTTGTGGGAGGAAATCAAGTTCATTTTTATCAGTGTCTTACACTTGAAGAAAGCAGAACTGTCCGTGCAACAGTTTGGGGACTGTCTGGGGAGGAAGGAGTGTCTGGAGAAGTCATGGTTTGGGAACTGTCCTGGCCCCTCTCCACCTCTGCAGCTAGTAACTGACTCGTGATACCCCTGCAAGTGATTTCCAGTGAAGCTTCTGGGCCAAGGTACCAGGCCTCTCAAATGGTCTTTCCATTTGTGTCACGTTTTCACCGATGTTGCCATAGATTCCAGGTACAGCCTGTGTTTTTGGATTATAACCACACAGCAGCCTTTGCGGGATGCATGCATGTCCACCCCATGGACATGCAATGATGTTTGTGGATGTGTAGTTCAGTCTTTTTAATGGAAACAAATTCAAATTGCCTTAAATATCTTTGTGTTGTGTCTTCACATGGCCAACAGTGAGGACAGGAAGCAGGCTCTTGGGTGTCTCCCTGTAAAGGCTCTAACCTCATTCATAAGGGCCCCACCTTCTCCTCCAAATACCATCACTCTAGGGGTAGGATTTCTACATATGAATGGGGTGGGTAACAAGTAATCAGTCCACAGAAAAAGTTGTTTCTACCTGTTTGATTCTGGGCAACTTGCAACTAAGTGAGACCCTGTCTCAAAACCAGAAATACAAATAAAAAGGCTGGGGATGTGGCTCAGTGCGAGGCCCTGGGTTTGATCCCCAGTACCACAAAAACAAACAAAAAGCTGCTGGTAGGGGCTGGGGTGCAGCTCGGGGTGCAGTCCAGGCTCGGCATGTGTGAGGCGCTGGGTTCCATTCCCAGCACCCAGGGGAAACAAGCTCCAACTGGTATTCAAAGTCAGAAATGACGTGGTCGTGTGGCTTAATCCTGTTATGCTGCAAACTTCCCAAACAAGATGAAGGGAACAAACTACATTTCAGATTAGAAGTCACACAAATTCATGTCGCACAATTCCTATCAAAAAGAAACTGCCACCTCCATGAGAGCTCCTCTTGGTCCAGCCGTAGACTGTTTCCTCTATCCAAGATAACCAACTTGTAGAGTTCCTCTAAATTCAATAAGATCCCTTAAAATAAATAAATACACACACACACACACACACACACACACAAGAGCCAGGCATGGTGATGAACACCTAGCCTGAAATCCCAGCACTCTGGAAGGCTGAAGAGTTCAAGCCTAGCCTCAGCAATATAGCGAGTTCACCTTGTCTCAGAATAAAAACAAAGAAAAAAAAGGGCTGAGGGTGGAGCTCAGTATGAAGTCTCTGGATTCAATCTCCAGTGCCCAAAAGCAAAACAAAACAAACAAAAACCTAGGCTGTCAGTGTCTCTCCAAAGCTCCCCCAAGAATGGCCCACACATGTGGCTGAGCCCAAGGCTGAGTGCAGGCCCTGGGGTCAGAATCAATCCAGCCAAATCCAGTCTCGTGGGAAGTGGAGAGAGACTACAGGTTGGGTGGTGGGACCTACAGCCACCTCGGGCCTTCCCTGCACCCCAAGCTCTACCTGAGAGTCTGCCATTGTCCTCTGAGGTGGGGCATTGTGAAGGTGGGGACACAGCTCTCAGGACCCCCATGCTCAGCTGACCCCTCCATGTTCCAGCACAGAAAGGGAAATCACAGCAGCTTCTGTGAACTGGGAATGCATAGGCACCGCCATCAACTCGTCATCTCCTAACTCACCTTGAGAGCTGTGTGCAGCTAGGTCATAGGTCATGGAAAATGGCCGTGATTTTTCTGCACCATTTTATTTCAGATGCTATAGGGACACGCTCCCCTTGGGACTTAGTCATCCCAAGAAGCTGTGTCTCCCTTTAGGCTGATGACAGAGCTTGTTCTTAAAACACTGGGTCTGATGAATGTGGTGTCACCATGTGTCATCACAAATGTCACCCTAAGCTGGCCTGCAAGGGGCTGCACTTTCAGGCTAACCATCCCTGATGCCTCTGATCCTCCTCTCCGTGTGGCACCTGTGCCATCACTGTAGCTGCCTGCCCTTCTCTCTGCATCTCAGGGCCACCAACTTGGTCCCTCTCCGGACATTCTAACTAGGACAGAAAACCAACAGCAAGGAAGATGTCCAGGCAGGGCTCAGCCATGCAGCTGCATTCTGGGACAGGCCTCCCTGTGGCAGCCACATCTTGTCCCCTCACCTATGGTGTCTGTGGGCTTCTCAGGGGCCCTGTCAGTGTCATGTGGCCAGGCCTGAACCTGTCACCAAGGCTGAGGACTGGGATACAGGAAACAACTGACCTTCCAGCCAGGGTAGGGGCACTGACAAAGTAGGAGCCAGGACGGCCCTCACAGAAACCAGGGCCTTTGCCAGCAGAAAGGTGAGCAGGACAGCAGCCTGGAGGGTCACCAGTCTGAGAGGTGTGCAGTGGGGCTGCTGCCAGTGAGCTGCTGTCCCTGTGTTCAGTTTCCCTCACATGAACACTGGGGTTCCCGCACCCCACCTCTATGCCCATCCAGCTCATGGCCCAAGGGAACAAGAGGATACCCCTGAGAACAGGCCTCCCAGCTCCTGCCCACTGGGCAGCTGGGGTGCAGGCTCCTGGCACCAGCTCAGTGGCCTCTTCCTCTAAGGGCCCCACCCTGCCCTGGGGCAGGCCCACAGCTTCCCACACCCAGAGAGCTGCATGAGGTGGCTGTGTGTAACCTCTCCAGCCCAACAGGACTATGGGTGGTGATGGACATTCATGCTATGCTGTCCAAAGGGCCACTGTGGCTACTGGACATTTGAGATGAGGCTGCAATGACTGAGGACCTGGATTCTTATGCAGTGTCCCTGAGCTTGTTGCCTGAGTGCCACCCATAGTTGGGCACTGGATGAGGCGTCACAGGAGGCAGGTTCATGTGTCAGGGAGGTGAGACGCATGGCTGCTAGTGTGTGTCCTCGGTGAGAACACAGGCTTTGTTAGTGCCACTTTCTGAAGGGACAGACCTGCTGCCCATCCCGGTGCTATGCTTAGAATAAGTGCAGTGGAAAGAACAGCCCAAGGCCAAGGGTGCAGCTCAGGGGTAAATGCTTGCCCAGCGTGGGCCTGGCCGAGGATCAGTGCCCAGCATCAGGGGGAAAAATAAAAAGCATCCACCAAAGTATGACCCTAGATGGAGAATGAACAAAATAAAGCTTTATTTGAACAACCTTGTGGACCACTAGAGAGCCAGAGACCCAAGTCATTTCATAACAGCGCCATGGCTCTTCTGTGGCCCAGTGCGTGGCTCAACATCACCAGTGGTAACGAGCACTGTTGCTCAGTGTTGTGCGTACTGCAGCCTCTGCTACCGTGAGTCTCCTCGCGCTCACCCAATTGCCCAGAGCTACCACAGCAAGGCCCTGGCAGGTATGGGGCACCCAGACCCCATGAACACCCAAACGGGGTGCACAGGGGCTCAGCCTCCACCTGCCCCATGCTCTCAGTCTTGACTCTCAATGAGCACTGAGTGACCTGACCCACATCACATTGTGATCTTTGGGACTTAAGGCACATTGAAAAGGGGGACCCCGGAACAGGGTGCATATCTTACACTGGGGCCTCTGGCTCTTCCGGACCCCAGAACAGGAGCCCAGTTCAGACCAAGCTGCCCTGACATTCACCTGAGTTTTCCCTGACTTTCTCCCGAGAGGCATCAAGCAGAAAGCAAATCCTGCCAGGTCACAGCTCAAAGGAACAAATCCACCCAGAATAGCTTCAGAGCTCGGGGGTCAGGTATCATTCATTCTGAGATGACACAGACCAAGGTCAGGAAGGTCAGACATGGGACACGGGCACAAAGTTCTCAGGACAGCAGACAGACAGGGGCACAGACATCTGACCAGATTTCCAGATTTGCTAACAGGTGCTGGAGAGCGGGCCCTTCTCACTGATGTAGGCAGAGATTTCCCTGACTCTGCTATAGTACGTGTGTGTGTGTGTGTGTGTGTGTGTACCCTCACCTCAGACAAAAGCCTCAGCTTTTGTCTCTGGAAACCTCTGAAGAAATGGGGTTGCCCCAGCTCTGGGCTGCAGATGCTGCTGAAGTCCAGGCCTGGAAACCGAGCCCAGGCAAGCAGCACAGAAACTACCGTGTGTGTTGGCACCCTGGCAGGTCAGACTCCGGGCCCCAGGAAGGAAGAGAGGCTCCAGGCTGGCTTCATTCACACATTGAGGGTGTGGATTCTGGGCTGGGATGTCCTGGGAGGCAGGTGAGGCCTGGGCTCACTGGGATGAGGTCTGAGCTTGGGTGGAGGCCGCATCCTACTTGGTGGCTGCCCGCCTCTCTTTGTGCATGTGGAAGGCACTCAGGATTTCCTGGATGACGCTGGGGTCCTCCAGGGTGGTGGTGTCCCCCAGGTCCTGGGCTCCACTTGTGATGATCTTCCTCAGGAGCCGCCGCATGACTTTCCCAGAGCGGGTTTTGGGAAGACGCTTCACCACCTGGTGAGACAGTGCAGCATTAGCACGGTGCCCTGGGGTGAGGGCCATGCTCAGGCTGACACCCGGAGGTCTCTGGTTTACCCTCCCACCTCCTGGGCCTGAAGCTGAGACCCACCAGAAGGCAGGAGCAACTGTGGGGCAGGTCAGCCACATCCCCTGCCAGGCAGTGCTGCGCTGACACCTCAGTGATGTCACCACTCGCATGTGGGCTCCAGGACAGCAGAACCAACCTCTACCCTCTCCCATGCTGTGACTTCAATTTTTGCCTTGCATGAGAGCTGAGAGCAACTTCACAGAAACAAGTCTGGAAGTTTAATACTTAGCATTTTCAAGCAGCCACACCCCATCTGGTGCCACTCAGTGGTGGCAGGTTAGGAGCTGTCTGGGGATGTGGCCCAGCACCTCGCAGACATTTAACAGTGACTCTGTTTCTGGGACACAGTCCAGTTCACCCGCCAGCTCCAGGTGCCAGGCCAGCCATGACAACACCAACTGACGCTGGGACCCCTGCCCCAAGCTACAGCACCTGGGAACTGCTCAGGGTGCCAAGGATCCGGGAAAGGAGGCACTAGGGCCCCGGTAGCCACACTCTGCCCAGGGCCAATGGACCCTCCCCTTGCTGGCACCAGGAAATGTGTTTAGAGGCCACATGGGGGGAGAACTCTGATATTTTCCACACCTCTCTATTAAAATCTACTTTAATTCAGGTGGGGACTAACTCAGTGGCAGAACGTGTGGCTGGCACGTGCAAGGCCCTGTGTGCAGCTCTGCTCTGGTGTGGACCCGGGAGTCCCCCAAAGCCCACATATTGAGGTGAGGTGCTGAGCCCGTGGATCCTGGGATGTGATGGCCTTTGGGAGTTGGATCCTCCCTCCCCTCTGCCTCCCAGCCCCAAACAATGGAACCCACCAACCTCCCACTGGAACTCTGGCACTGGGAGCTACAGCAAGCTTTTCTCCCTTCTAAACTGTCTGTTATTTTGTCATAGCAATGAGAAGCTAACACAGAACCACAAAAGGAAAATAAAATCCCTAATTCTCTTCAGCACCAAGTCCTGGACCCGTATCCAGCAACCACAGGCCAGAGCCTCACCCACCCTCGGGTAACCTACCAGATCACCTGTGTTTGTTATTTTGTTTTTTGGCACAGAGGACTAAACCTGGGCCTCATGCTGAGTTACAACAGCCCCAAAACCTTTTCAAATCCTGAGACAGGGTCTCTCTAAGTTGTCCAGGATAGGCTCAAACTCTTGATCTTTCTGCCTCAGCCTCATAAGTAGCTGAGATCATAGGCTCGAGCCACCAGGGTGATGTGCTCGTCAGAAACTATCATCACTGACACCTGTAGGATTTGCAAAAGGGAATTAATGAGAGCATCACTGGCCCCCACCAGGCATCCACTCACCAGGATCTGGTCAGGCACGGCATATTTGGCAATCTTGGTGGCCACCGCCGACTTGAGCTCATTCACCACCACATCCACATCACCAGCCTCATCCTTCAATACGATGAAGGCAAACGCGGCTGGAAGAAAAGCAGAGGTTTGGGAGTACCACAGCGATATCTGTGCAGCCAGGTACTGGGTGCCACCTGCTACCTGTGCCAAGGGTTTGTCTTGCTGTGTTGCCCAGGTCCTGGGGTCAAGCAATCCTCCTTCCTCAGCCTCCCAAGTAGCTGGGACCACAGGCATGTGCTGCCACGCCTGGCTCCAAGGGACCTCTAAACCCTGCGTTGGTGACACCGTGGCAGCTTCTCTCTTTCGCCTCAGCCCTTACAGTGCATTTCTGCCACAGCAGAGCCGCAGCAGTTCCTATAGCTCCATGGGTGTGCTGGCCGGGCAGCCACGCATGGCTAGGAGCTTAGCACTGCAGCAGGTGCTGACGGCCACTGTGACCCAGCTCAAGTGACTTACGATGGTCCCTCCGCTGTGACAGCGCCTGTGATGGGGCTGACAGGACACACAAGACAGTGCAGACGTGGTGGGCGTGTTCTCAACCCCTAGGCCACTGGAGTTCAGATTAATCCGAAAACGCTCCCCTTGGCTGCTCCTGCTGTGTCTCAGCACTGTCACAGCAGTGTTAGGCAACTCTGGGTGGCCCCAGTTGGCACAACCATCCACTTCATCTGTCAACATCCTGGTGGCTCCGAAAGAGCTGGGCCTGGAGCCCACAGTCGCCCTGGACCTGACATCCCATCCTCCATGTGAGTCCCTGAGGTCCCCACATCACATCCCTGCTGTCACAGTGCTCCTGTGACGCCCACACCAACCCCGCTTCCTCATCCTCCACACCTCTCAGCCGTGTGCGAGGTTCCCTCACCAAGTTGACTGCTGTCCGGGTCTGTCCCTCCCGCCTCCGTGCCTCCTCCCAGCACAGTGGCCATGAAGGCAGAGGCCCTGTCTCACTCTCCACTGTGTCCCCAGCAGAAGGACCAGGCCTGAGCACAGCAGGAGCCCCTGCTGACGACCACCAGGGCGATTGTGCCTGCATGGCTGGTCTGCAGCAGCCTCAGCTTCTGCCTGAAAGGCTCCCATCTCCACCCAGCAAACTCCAACTTATCCCTCAAGACCCAGTCCAGCTTTGACGCCCTGTAGAGGCTTTCCTGACCCTGACCGAGTCTGGCTGTGGCTCTTGCCCTGTGGGGATGGGCATCACACCCACCCCCAGGCTGTGAAACCTCTGAAGGAAAGAACACAGTGCCCCTTGTCCTGGGGCTGAGGCGGGCTGGAGTGGCCTGGACTGTGGAGTCCAGAGCCAGAGATGAAGGGAGGAGCCACTTGGATGGAGGTGGGAGGCTGAGGCCAGAGGGATGAAAACCCAGGCAGGCTCAGGGGGTGGAGTCCGAAGCAATCCCAACGTGGGGCTCCCCTCCCACAGATGAGGTGCCAGCCTGAGGGAGAGGACAAATTCGCAAGGCATGCAGACGGAACTGGTACACAAATTAAAAGCAAACAGATGCTCCAGTACATGAGAAACAGCAGGAAATCCCCACTGTTGGTAGGTGACCGAACCAGGCCTGCTCAGGACAGGAGAGCTGCCCCAGCTGCTGCCAGGTGCCGGCAGCCTGGGATGCTCACCCAGGGACTCTGCCCTGTGCCCCAAGCCGCAGCAGCAGACACAGCACCCATCGCAGCCCTTCATGTGAGTCCACCCTCCAGGCGGCCTCCCTCGGTCCTGTGCTCTCCTCCTGGGGTTCACCCAGGGGAAATGTGGGGACAATGCCAGGTTGAGGCCCTCTGTGCAGCCCCACAGCCCTCTGTGGGCCCCAGTACCCAAGCAGCCAGCACAGCTCAGCTTTGATTTACAAAGGCCCAGACCTGCGACACCCAGGCAGCCCCGGCCACAGTGTGAAATGCAGGCCTTGCCAGCGTGGGGCCCACAGGTGGGACACGGGTCACACTGACAGGCTGGGCAACTGTTCCTGCCTCTGTCCCCGTTCTGACTATGCCTGGACAAGGACTCTGCTGGGGCGGCCCTATAGCCTCCATCACAAAGCCACAGCAGCCCTCATCCCCACAGCTGTTTCACAGCCATGGAAAATGCTGTTTCTGAAGTGCTTGCACAGATTTTAAATTTTACAGTGGGTCAATTTAAAGAAAGTATCTGAGGGACTAGGGTGTTCAGGGTAGTAAGACCTACACTCAGAATGTGCAAAGCACCAAAATGAAATAAAATATAGAAAGCATCTGAATAAATATAGCACAGGGGTACACAACATGACAGGCAGGCGGGGTGATGTTTGGGACAAGCTATGACCCAATGAGCCGCTAACAGGAAGAGCGAGAAATCTCTATCTCAGGCCACAAGGCAGGAAGACGTGGTCAGTGTGGCCAGCAGTGACCTGGCACGGGGTCAGTGTGCCCAGAGGTGAAATGGAGCAGGCTTGGTGTTCCCAGCAGTGACCTGGCACAGGATCAGTGTGCCCAGCAAAGACCTGGCATGGGGCTGGTGTGCCCAGTGGTGACTGAGCACAGGGTCATAGCAGGCCAAGTGGCTTACAACACTCAGGCACTCCTGCCCGTGTGCAGGCCCTGGGGACTTGGGCCTCGTCAGCTCTGGAACCAAGTGTGTCCTGGGAGAGGAAGCTGTTCCACTCATTCTGTGTCCCCAGAAGGTGGCCATGCCAGTGGGAACACAGCCAGGCTTCTCCCCAGTCCAGGTGCAGCCAAAGCCTGTGCCAGGCTCTGCCCTGCATCCCACCAGCCGCTGTGGACACAGAGCTGGCAGGGCAGAGGGGAGGGCTATGTGGCTGGATGGCTCAGGAACACTCCATGGCAAGGTGTAGACAATGCCCAGCCAAGGGCCAGAGCCACAGGATGAACTTCCCAAGCTCAGGTAAGGCCAACTGGGCCATGGCTCCGGTTGGGGAGTGTCCTTAGGCCAATGTGGCCGGGGCCTTTCAGAACCCCAACCTGCCCACTGCATGTCATTGGCTTTCTCACCCAAAACCTCTGCTTGGGAGAGAAGGGGAGCATCAGCTCTGCCCTGCAGACCTAGTCACCAGTGCTCCACCCCACTCTGTTTAGGGGGCACCCATGACAGGCACAAGGTGGGACATCAGTGAGGCTGCTCAAGGGGCCACTCACCTTCTCCTTTGATGTCATGGGGGTAGCCAATAACAGCAGTCTCCGGCACGGCAGGGTGGTCAGCCTGTACCACAGAGAACAGGGCAAAGTGTGGTGAGCCCCATGGCCTGGAGGTGGCTCAGGTCACGTTCCCACCCCACTCAGAGGCCAACAGCATCGTGGTAGTACCAGGGCAAAGGAGAGGCTGGGCCATACTCACCATGGCATCCTCGATCTCTGCGGTGCCCAGGCGGTGGCCACTGATGTTGATGACATCATCCATGCGCCCTGTGATCTGGTAGTAGCCATCCTGGGTGCGGTGAGCCCCGTCTCCAGTGAAGTAGTAGCCTGCAGCCCAGCAGAGGATCCGCTCAGGAGCCCTGAACTCCAGCCCTCTGTGATGGGGCCCCATCCTGGTCACAGGCCACAGGCCTAGGCTGCCATCCTGGCCTGCTGGCCCTCCTCACAGTCTCCCTGTGGCCCCAGCCAAACCTCTCGAGCAGGCAGCTGGCGACGTCCAACTGCTGACTCGGGGAGGAGGGCAGAATGGGCACATCTGAGGAAGCCCAACTGGGCTCAGTACAGGCTTGAGACTAGAAGCCATCAGTTCCAACAAGACAAGGTGGCATTCACATAACTTCCAGCCCAAAAGCACAAGAACAACTGGGAAAGCACAGACATAAGCTTTGGGAAAGCCCCTACTATGGCCAGTGTCCACAGTGTTTTTTCCATTCTCCTCTGCTAAGAGCTAATGGGGCCACCCCAGCCCGGCATTTACCAACCTCACACTCACGACCCTGGCCCGCAGAGGCCCGAGGTTGGGCTGACTCCACAGTACCTGAGCCTCCATGTGCCTGTCCTTCACCCCCATGCCATGCTGCCCACCACTGCCATTCCTGTGGACGTTTTAGCAGAACACAGGCTCGGCACAAGGGTCACCCCAGCCACTCACCTGGGTAGGCCCTGAAGTAGGAATCTACAAATCTCTGGTGGTCGCCATAGATAGTCCGAGCCATGCCTGGCCAGGCCTGGGCAATGCACAGGGCCCCAGAGACATCGTCACCCTCCACCACGTTGCCCTGCAGACCGGGAAGACAGGATGAGAGATTTAGACGTGAGAACCGACCATCAGCATCATCTTTCTCACTGCTCAACTGAGGCCGAAAGATGACAATCGGGTGCAGAAGGAGCTGCCCAGAGCCTTCCTCCCAAGAGCCTGGGGCTAGGCCCCACAGCGATGTCATCAAGACAGCACCCTGAGAGAAGCCTGGGAAGCAGGCACCAGTGTGTGGTGAGGGACAGCAGGGGACTGGCCTGTGCAGGGCCTCATGCACCTTCTCGTCCATGAGAGTGGGCAGGATGCCGAAAAAGGGCCTCATGGCCATGCCAGGGAGGATTTCAGCCCCTTCCTCTGAGGGCCGGGGTGCAATGCAGATGCCACCAGTCTCTGTAAGAGGGGAAAGAAAATGCTGGTTTGCTGGGAGCCCAGATTGCATCCCCAAAGGGCACTGGATGCCCACTGTGCTGGTCAGAGTAGAGATGGGGAAGGGTCCCAGTGACACCAGGACCTCTGTCGGGGTAAACATGGCTCAGGCCCCTCAGTGTGGACACAATGGGGTGCTCAGGTGGGTGCAGCCCTGGGACCCACCCTGTGGCTGGGTGCCACATCTTTGGGACCATGCTGTGGCCAGGTGCCATGTTCCAGGCCCTGTCCTACAGTGGGCTGCCTGCTCCTGCCTCTGCCCCATGCCACCCTCCAGATTTGGCCCCCGCCTTCTGAACCAAGAAGAGCAGACAGAGCCTCCTGCTTGCACAGGAAGATGGAGGAGGACTAGCCTAGCCAGTGCACACTTGCACCCATCAGGCCTGGCCTCACACTGCTCTGGCACCGCCTCTGTGGCCTGGATGGAGAGGAGGAGTTCAAGGTCCCTACCCAGTCAGACAGGACCACTGTGGCAGCTCAGAAGGCTGTGTGATTGTGTCTGCGGTGGGCTCTTGCCCTGCACATCCAGAGAGTCAGACATTTGAGAGAGGAGGGGACAAACTGAAACAGAGTGCCACAGAAAGCATCCTCTCCTGCTAACCCCAACATGGACTTGAGGCTCTGGGGTGACAGGTCCACCCCCACTACACAGCTGTGCTCAGTGGGCTCCATGCCAGCACCCCAACAACAAGGAAGGGGGCTACAAGGAGAAGGGGACCCTGTGTCCTCACCACGCCAGGCCGGAGCACAATCTGTGGCAGCACATTCCACGCATACCAGGCCTAGGGGCCCCTATGTCACAGGCAGGGAAACTGAGGCTCTGAGAAGTCCTCATTAGAGTGGAACAGCTGCTAAGCCCAGCCAGGCTGCATCATGGGTGGTGCAGTGGACTCTGCCACCCTGGCTCCAAGAGCCCCAGCCCCAGCCTAGATCCCCAGACCCAATGCCCAGAGGAAACAATCCCAGGAGTCCAATGCCTGCTGGGGACGCTCACCTGTCTGCCACCAGGTGTCCACCAGCGTGCACCTGCCATCCCCCACCACCTTGTGCAGCCACTCCCAGGCCTCATTATTGATGGGCTCACCCACTGAAAGGACACAGAGAGCGAGAGATTAGCGCCACCCAGAGGGTGGGGGCCATGGGGCAGCTGCTGGGGAATGGCTCTGAAGTTTCTCCAAATGTCATCAGAGAAGACCTGGAGAGACTGAATCCGTCACACTTACCAGAGAAACACAAGCAGCTGTTACAGGGTCCAAAGGCAAAAAGAGTGCAAGAATGTGGGAAACAGTGTCACACACACACCATGTCATTCAGGGGAGGCAATCAGGACATTTCTCCTAATACTTAGGAGTGCGCATGAGCAACACAACTACCTGACAATAGTTGGGGGCAAAGTCTACTATCGCTAAACTCATGTTTACTCTGTTACCCCAAAATTTGACTCTGGACAAGTGCTCCAGAGAATGAAGCACAGCCAGACACCATATTAAGCACACAAGATGGCCCTGCAGCCCTGTCCACCACAGGCAGAAGTAAGTCACAGACTCCCTATGCGAACATATAGTTGGTGATGGCAGAGCCTGTACCGGACACCACAAAGCATGAGGGCATGCATTGCTATACCCACACCCATGCAGCCTTACGACCATCTGCCCACCAACCCACATGAGGCCCAGGAGGATCCCTGACCTAACTACTCATGTCCACCTGACACACCTACCCCTCCAGCTGCCCCCCCCCCACTGAGCCCACAGCCCCTTACTCCACCTCAGTGTGCTCGCTTACCCGAGCCCAGGGTGCGCAGGGATGAGCGGTCATACTTCTTCACCCAGACATCCCCGAGCTTCAAGAGCAGCCGGATGGCAGTTGGGGCGCCATAGAACTGATTGACCCTCAGCCTCTGCACTGTCTCCCAGTACCGACCTGCAGGACGCCAAAACCAGTCAGCAGGATGAGCCAGACACAGGTGTGTGCAGATGTCTGCACGTGGTCACCAAGACGGGCCCAAGTCCTCTGGGAAGGGTTGATGCATCTTCCCCATGTGCTGCACACGCCTCACAGCCGAGCCCCGTGCCCAACAAGACACCTGGCCCTGGAACCCTGCCTACCCCACCGCTCCCTGAGGGACCTGAATATGAACACACCTAAGCCACAGCCCTGCCCATGCCCTCTCCTGACTCCATGACTCCCTACTTAAAGAGGGGATCCAGGCCATGCACAGAGCTGGGCAGCCACGGAGTCTGTGGACCTGGACTTGAGGAAGGACTAGGTTGACCAGTGAGGTAGCCGCAGAGACAGGAGGGACTGGGCTAAGAGGTCCTAGGGCAGGCAGTTTAAGGTAGAGGGACAGGAACCTGGAAGGGTGGCGTGAGATATGGTGTTGCCTGGCTCCTTGTTAGATAGCAATGCCTGAGCGCCCTGCAGACAGCTTCCAGCTCCCATCTACATGCAGGGTCAAGGCTAGCAGTTCTGCTGTCCCCTTGGCATCTGGTCCACAGGACCACAAGACACACATCTCTCCTGCATCTGGCCCTGCCACCCAGCACAGGCCCCAGATGGGTCCTTACCAGCATTGGGGTAAACTGGGGTACTCTCAAATAGGACACTGGTGGCACCATTGCAGAGGGGTCCATATACCACGTAGCTGTGCCCCGTGATCCAGCCAATGTCTGCCACACAGCCGAAGACGTCACCTGGCTGATAGTCAAACACAAGCTGTGGACACAGGGGGGACCATTAGGTGGCGTTCTTCCATCATCACCACATTCCCACATGTCATTGAGACAAGGTGGAGCTTGCCCAATGGCCTGAAACTGAGAGGCAGCCACTGACAGCCACCAGCAGCTGGTGACTGGATGTCGCAGAGGCTGCACACAGGGCATGGCAGGGAAAGATGATTACTGTACACATGGCAGCAGGGGACCCTTGCAGATGTGCATGGGTGAAAGTAGCCAGGTGTAAGAGTGCTGCCACGCTCATAGCAGACATGCACAGCCAGACAATGCTGAGCCATGGGATGAGGGTGGCCCTGGGGACTGCAGTGAGAGGCTTGAGGGGCTCTCTGAAGCCCAAGCTGTCCCTGTCTGGAAGCAGGCATGCAGCAGGAACTTCGTCTAGCTCCTGCATAGCTGTCAACATTCCACTTGTTGACTAGAGTTTGGTGTTTGCTCAAATGACTCACTGAGCCACACATGTGGCTTGGGTGGTTTTCTGTATGTGTTCTAAAAAGACCACTTTTCATTCTTGGTGAGTTGTCCCCAGGGTCCTGCCACTACAGACCAGCGGTCAGTGCAACCTGGAGTTTGCGGGCAGCTCAGTGGGGCTGTGAGTGGCCAGGCCCCTGAGGAGCTGTGTGTCCATGTGGAAGAGTAAAGTTGTGTTTGCTGTGTCTGCACAGCATGGAGCCAAAGGGATTATGAATTCAACTTGGACCCATGCTGCCAAGCCTGTAGTTCCTGGAGGGAGACCAGATGCCTAGGGCCAGTCACTTCCCAGACACCCACAGCCAGGCAGCTCCTTGAGCCACAGTGCACACCTCAACATCCTTCAGAGTCAATAGCCTTTTCCCTAACAGCGCAAATCCCCTCGTCATGAGTATGCATGGACAGACATACACATAAACACATGAGTACATATGCGTTGATAAATATATGCACACACAGGCACACACATAGATGGCAAACACGCACACAAACATCCTTATGCACAAGCACACACATTAGAACCCCAGTGATAACCTCAGGCACTGTGACAGTTCATCCTGACTGTCAACTTGCTTGGGGACAGAAAGAGCACACCCCTGGGCATGTCAGGGTGGGTCCCAGAGGTGTGACCCCAGGGACCATGTCTAAGTCCCTGGCCCTTCCTCTCTGGCTCTTCCCCTGTGTTCTGCCCACAGCTGCCATGAAGTGAGCAGCTCTGCCCCACTATCCACAATGCTCTGGCCTTAGCATCAGCCCACTGGCCCTTCTGACACTAGGAGCCCAGATAGCCTCTCCTCCTTCCAGTTGCCAGTGGCAGCAAGAACATATTCGTCCAAGGATGGGCACAACTGTCACCTGAGCTCAGGGTGGCCTGGCTGTGAGGACTGTCACTCCAACTTACAGCTGAGAACACAGGCATAGGCAGCTGTAGCAGCTGAACCAGCTACACCAGCCACAGCAGGGCAGAGCCCAGAGCACACGCTGTACCCAAACAATGCTGCTCTCACATGTCACTGAGCGGGTGGGTCACATGGCTGCCTGTAATCCGATGGGTATCCCAGGCTCCTCAAACCCCAAGCCTGAGTGTTGTGCCCAGCACAGAGCAGCCCCTCAGTACTAATAAGCAAAAAGATGCACACTTCCCTCTCCACAGCTATTCATGCTCAGTCTCATCCACAGGAGCCTGACGGTGCCTACTCCTGATCCCCTAAAAATCTCCAAGTATGGAAGAGAAATTCAAAAGATGCCATCCTGTCCCCACAGCCTCACATCTCTTGGTCATGTCAACAATGTCCTGGAAACACTCTGAACACACAAGGATGAAGTCTCAGCCTGCTTACAGCTCCCTGGTGTATATTTTATGTAAATAATGGAAACAGATCCAGTCTGCAACTCTCTTGGCATTCAGTCCCAGTGGCTACTTTCCAAGTGTCTTGTACAATCTGCCCATCTTTGCAGCATCCCACCACCAACTGGAGGAGGAGGTGGTCAGCTGAGAAAATCAGGGTTGAGAAAGCTCTGTGCTTTTTAGGGTTGTGACCTCTGTGAGGTCAGCCAGAAGTGAGTGGCAATGACGTCACCACGGGGCTCTGTGCTCAGCCTAATGCATGGTCTGCTCCGCAGTCCTGCAAGGCGTCTGTCTATCCTCTCACCATCAGTGTCCTCACTGCTGGCCCTGAAGTGTGTCTGTCTGTCTGCCTCTCCCTTGGGTGTCCTCCACGCTGTCCCTGTGTAGCATCCATCTGTCCACCTCACTGTCAGTATCCTCAGGGGTGGACTTCATGCTGTGCCCATGCAGATGCCAGGTGCCAGTCCCAGTATCTGCTTCCCCTTTCCCCATGAACCTTTTGTGTCCTGTCCCAGGGATCACCTCCCATGTGACCCACATAGGTCAATCAGCATTTCAGTCCCACTTTAACCACTGCCCACGGTGACCAAGTCAGAACTGGACCTGGGACCCCAATCCAGCCAGGACTCTGCTGGGACCACTAAGGCCCTCTCTGCTCTGGGTGAGCCCAGCTGAGGGATAGAAGCCTGATGAGGTACTTTGTCTGTATGGTGGAAGGTGGCCATGACAGGGACAGGGGCCACCAGCCAGGATGGCATCCGTGCCCCACCCACATGGCCTGGGCTTGCAGGCCACTTGAGCCTGTCAGTTCTTTTTGTTGCTGTCATCAGTAGGCACTGAGGTGGGCTGCAGCAGAATCCAACCCACAGATGGTACCTTGAAACTCAAGCCCACCTGGGAAGTACCAGGTAGTACCCAAGGTTGCCAAAGACGCCCCTTAAAACCAAAACCCCACAGGGCCAGGGATTTAGCTCAGTGGTGCCGTTGTCTGCTCACAAGTGTAAGGTCCCAAGTTCAATCCCTGATACCATAAAAACAAACAAACAAAAAACACAACCCCACACGTTTACATGAATGCTGATTTGCAGATGCATTTATTGGAATAAAAGCCAGGCTCTGTCATTTGCTTTTATATGCCAAGAAGGTTACCCTCTGTAATGTAATTTCTACACACTAAATGTAAGTTCATTTATAATGCTGTCTTTTTAAATTTTACTTTTAAAATGAGTAGGGGCTGGGCCTGGGATTTAGCTCAGTGGTTTCACCACCTGCTGCACAAGCACAAGGACCCAAGTTCGATCCCTGGTACCAAAAATAAAAATAAAAATAAAAAATAAAATGAGTAGGGGCTAGGGTCCACAAATCTTTTAGGGGTCTACAAAAATGTTTTCTTTTAAAAACAGAAGAAAAAAGTGAACCTTTAAGTGAGAATGTCTGAATTTTCATGAGCATCTGTATTTACCTTTATCTCATTCCAGTTTTTAGATTCTTTTCTCCCTCATGGGTGGGGTTCAAATACAGGGCCTCCCACACATGAGGCACACTCTTTACCACTAAGCCACATTCCCAGCTTCATAAATTTCTGTTGTTGAGGTTCTTTCATTTGCAATACAATCCTAAGATACAGTTTTCGATACTTTATGGCATGAGGAATGCATAAAGACAGAAATGAGGGCAGCAGCAGCCTGGGGGTCAGAGCAACCAGGGCCCTGTCCCAAGGTGCGACCAGAGGACCCAGACTCCTCTCACACACACAGTCCCACCCTGCTACCGCAATGTCACATTTCACTTGTCCCTGTTTGTGAACATGGCATACCACACATAAACACCATACACCAAGCACGAGCCCTGCACCCCACCCCCACCCCACCCCCGCCAACCTTGTGTGTCAGGGCAGCATACAGCAGGTAGCCCGCCTGGGTGTGCACCAGTCCCTTGGGTGTCCCCGTACTCCCTGAGGTGTACAGCATAAAGAGCATGTCCTCGCTGCCCATACTTTCTGGGATGCACACAGGGGCCTCCTGTGCCATCTCCTGAAGGGGAGAAGCACAGAGAAGACTTAGCCTGGCCTCTGTGAGCAACCCCTGCCCCAGAGTGCACCTCCCTGGTTTCCCAGGATCAACTACAGCAGACACAGAATAAAAAGATGGATCTGGGCTGGGGGTGCAGCACAGTGGTAGAGTATGTGCTCAGCAGGAATGAGGCCCTGGGTTCCATCTCAGTGCCAAAAAGGAAAAGGGGAGGCGGGTACTACAGGGGAGCTCAGACTGAGAGCCACAACTGAACAAGCCCCAGACCCAGTGCACCTGAAAAAACTCCTCCTCCCCAAACCACATAAAGCGGGGTAAACCCACCTGCTCAAGAGGGACATCAAGCTCCCCCATGGGGACCTTGTTTTCTGTCCTGTGCGCCACCAGGACGTGCTGGACGGTCGGGCAGTTCTTCACAGCTTCGTCCACTATTTTCTTCAGCTCTACCACGCGCCCACCCCGGAGTCCTTGGTTGAAGGTAATGACCACCTTGCACCTGGCTATCAGAGACAACAGTGACGCATCTGATCAGTCTCCTCCCCACTTCACCCTCACAGCCTGATTGTGGCCACACATCCAGGCTTGACAGTGTGCTGGACAGCATCCAACCAGAGTAGAAGAACCAGAGACACAACTCTGCACCGAGAGCATGGCACAGCATGCAAGGCCTGGCCCTTTGAGGGTGAGTGAGGAAGGGTCTGAGACAAGGCACAGAAGCACCACTCTCCTCAAGGGTTGGAGCACGAGTCTCCCACCTCCAGCTGTCTCTTCCTCCTGACACAAGCATCTCCAGGCAGGCCACCCACAGCAATTGTGGTGACAGAGATGCTCCAGAGGCAGAGACCAAGCCCCAAGGCGTTCCCTGAGCCAGGCCCTGTCCAGGCTGACTTTCAGCTCACCTGCTTTTAGCTCACAGTCTGCAGAAAACAGAAGAGAGATGCCACCAGGGTGGGTGCCCAGGAGCAGCCTACATGCCCTCACCTTGAGGGGAAGCTCTGGGCCACATCTGCTCTTCAGTGACCCAGCCAGAAGAAGCGAGGACCAGGGCTGTGGTGAGGGACCCAACCTTCCACACCCAAGAGAGGGCGAGGCCAGTGCAGGGAGTGAGGGCCACACACCCTGGGCCTGACACCCACAGGCAAAAGAATCACTCTCGGCCCTGTACCCACCCAGGAGGACCCAGAAGGACCAAGGCTGTGGCGGTTATTAGCCTCTGAGGAAGACTCAGGAGCAAACAACAGGTATAGAACAGCCCAGCTGGTTCTCACCCATAGCCACAGTCCCGGGGTCCTCTAGTCAGTCTGAACCGGGGGCCTCTTCCAGAGCCATGAGTGGAGGTGCTCCTCAAGCAGTGACTCTGGAGAGATGTAGTATGAACACCCAACTCCTCAGCCACACCTGTGTCAGCCCAATCCACGGGTGCTACACATAGTGGGGCTCCCTGTTGACAAGGCTCTGGCCTCATTTCTCACTGCCGGAGGTTCCCAGAACCAACCCTCAGAGGCACCGCCTTCCTGGGACCTTGTCTGAGTCTGTTCTCATCTTCCGTCTGAAAGTTCTTTCAAGCCACATGCTTACACTCTTTATCTCTCCTAAGTGCCTCAGAGACATCACAGCCTTGAGGCCACCAGAGGATTCTCCGTACAGGGTTTGCAGATAGATGAGCTGGCAGGAACATCCAGGAGTTAGAGATCCTCTAGAGATCCTCTAGGCCAGTGGTGGCGAACCTAGGGCATGCATGCTGCAGCAGGCTCTTTGTATCATTCAAAGCTCAAAAAATGAAACTTGCCATCACTGATCTAGACCCACCTAGAGGCAGCCACCCTTGCCTGGGGCACCAAGATACCCCTAAGGTCCCTAGCCACACATATTTTCCCTTCAGGGCACAACAGCCACCCACTAGGGAAGTTGACCAGTCTGGGCAGGATGTAGGCAAACTGCCCACTGGTCCCTTTCATAGCCAGCTGATGGGGCTGGACAGAGAAGCACGGGACACAGGCGGGAGCCATGGGACATTGTCTGGTTGGACTCAACTGTCCCTCCTGGTTTGGAGTGGGCCTCTGCATCTGCATGGATTCTCTTTGCCCCCACAACAAATCACCACAAACTCCATGGCTCCTGACATCTGCTTTTAGCTCACAGTCTGCCCATCAGACAGGCTTGATGGGCACTCTGCTTAGTCTCCTGGGCCAAAGGTGGGTGTCAGCAGCCTGAGCTCCTGTCTGGAGGCTCTGAGGGAGAATCTGCCTCCCAGCACTGCTGCAGCTGGCAGATCTCTGCTCACAGAAGACTCCCATATTTCTGTGCCTTTCCCTGGTATCACCTATCATTTGTCTTTGTGGCTTTTTATTAACATCTAACTGCACCTAATCTCCATCACGATGGTCAGTCTCCCAGGAACAAGGACCAGGGGACTCCTGTCCCCTCCTCCCCTGCCCCTGTACTCACCATCATTGATCCTCCTAGCCAAGGACTCTGCACTGAATCCAGCAAAGACAACTGTGTGGACAGCTCCAATTCTGGCACAGGCCAGCATTGCTGCCACAGCCACTGGGGACACTGGCATGTAAATGGCCACACGGTCCCCTCTCTGGACTCCATACCTCTTCAGCGTGTTGGCCAGGCGGCATGTGGTCTCCAGCAGCTCCCTGCAGCACAGGGGAGAGAAACAGGTGGAGTAAGAGAATGCACAAAGACAAGCATGTGCCCAACCTTGCAGAGGGACAGTGGGCTCTGAACGCTTGTGACACGGCAAGTTCTTTTCCAGAAAGAAATGGTTTTGACATTTGGCCAATCCCTGCCACCTTGCTAAGTGACAAGGCTGTCCTTGTGTCCACTTCTAGCAAGGCTTCTCAGAGATCACAAGAAGCTGCACACAGAACATGTTTCAGAGACTTGTGTAAACATGTGCCATGTGAGAATGCCAAGAAAGACTCTCTTAGGAAGGGAGGCCCAGCTTTCTGACTCAACACAGGCCAAGGGTGCCAAGCAACCCTCCTGCCAGTCTGGGACCCAGGCTCAGGTCCAGCAGATCCCAGCCTGGGACACACAGAGAGCTGGAGTCAGCAGGTCAGGCAGCCACCTGCCCAGCACCGTTCCTCTACATGTGCCCTCACACCGTGGCCATCACTAGGTTTGGCCAGCGAGTGGGAGCATAGCACCTCACTGGGCAGATGATTGGCTACACAGTGAACACGTGGTCCACCCCCACCTAATCACAGTCCATAATATTCAGCTCTGAGAAAAGCAGGCCCTGAGCACACTACCCCATCCCAGTGGAGCAGGAAGTGGAGACAAGAAGGTGGAAATGGAAGTGAGCTCACCATCCCTTTTCTTCTGTTCCCACACCACTTCTCATTGGGCTTGGTTGTGGGAATTGCGATAGCCAGGCATTTCCCCCTTTTTGCTTTACGTGGTTTGATTTTAATTGTTTCCAATAAAGAGAACATAGGATGATAAGGATTAAAATGATTAAAACGAATAATTGATAATTTGAAGTAGGAAGAAAAGGTCCAAAGGGGTAGGGGAAGTGGGAGGGGAAGAGGAAAGGAAAAAATGGAAATAAAGTCTTTGTAAATAGGGAAGGGTGGAGGGGGTGAAGGGAGGGCAGGGAATGGGGAAAAAATAAGAACAAAGATACATCATGTACAGGTACAAGAACCCAATGATAAATGTAAACGTACTGTATACCTAAAATGTACCAATAAAAGAATTTAAGGAAAAAAAAAAAAAGAGCGAGAACATAGGATGGTTGAGAGGAAACCCAGGCCCCTTTCTCTGGGCCCAACAGCATCGAGCTCCAGGAGGCCCTGCCAAGCAAGAGGCCTTGGTTCAAAGGGATGCCCAGGCCTAGGACAAAGGCGAAGCTCAACCAGAGCCGGCCGCCCCCCGCCCTTCCAGGAGATCAAGCAGAATAAAAATGAACAGTTCCCATTGCAACAGAGACCTCAGGGAGCCTTTGTTTCTTCCCAAAGCCACTCTGCAAAGGAGCCCAGCCAAGAACCAGCTCCCAGGTCCACCCCGTAGCTTGCCAGTGCCTCTGGAGGGATTTCATCTTTTCTCCCTAAAGCTTTCAGAAAGAGGACAAAGACACCATTCACCACCCACCCCTTGCCTAAGTTTCCTCAAAAGAACACCCCTGACAAACCCCCAAAACCAGAATCCAGGGTCCAAAAACACTCCTACTTCTGAGAAAAAAAGGCCCCTACAAAACTAAAGAGCTATGTCAGTAACACAAAGGAACTAGGGGCATTGGGAAGCTCCATTCTCACAGCTCTTAGGGCTTAGGCCTCTGTGCAGGGCTGGGGAGACGGAGCTGAGTGTCCTCTACCCAATGGTATGGAAATTCAGTCTTTATTCTGCAGACCTAAGGCATGGCTGGGGTAGCTTTCTATATGGCTGCCCTGGCTTCTCAGCTGTCATGTTATTGTAAGATAAAGAGTAAGCACTCTACTTGGTACAACTGTTTCAAGCATTGATAAGAAGCAAGATCCACCCAGGACGCACCCTGACGAATATTCAGTAAGTATTCTCTTTCCCAACAAGTAGAAACTCCCATCAGCATTTGTGTGAAATCATTTTCTGAAATGACAAAAACCAGCTAACTCACTTTGGTGAATTCCTAAGATGCTAAAAACCCTATATCAGGCACCATATGAGCACTGGCATTAAAGAAATGAGAGGGGTAGCATCCCCCAGAAACACAGCTGACTGAGGAAGTGGCGATACGTGTGCAAGGGTGTGTATGGAGACATGTGTGCAAAGGTTGTGTGGAGATGGGTGCAAAGGTGTGCGTGAAGATACATGTGCAGGGGGTGCATGAAGACACGTGTATAAGAGTGTGCATGGCATTCAGCCTCTCAGCTGGAAGGTGCTGTCACCAGGGCAGCAGGGAGAGCTTTCAAGACTGGGCCAGAGAGGAATGAGTGGTGTCCCTGCAGAAACAGAAGTCACCCAGCCACTGAGCTGAGCAACTGGACCACATCCAGCCTGAGGGAGGCTCTAGAGAACAGGTAGGGCTGACCACATGCTCCCTGAGGGACAGAGGCCTCTGCACACAGGCAGGTGCTAGAGCAGGGTCTGGTGAGGCCTCAACACAGGCTTGGTCCTCAGGAGCTCGCTGAGTCTGGTAGGTTCCACCATCTTGTTGCTATGTCCAAAGAACAGGCTTCTGACAAAGAATTTGATCCAGATAACTTTCTGAGCTGATCCACTTCCTACTCATTTTGCCATGGCCACAAATCCTGAGGTTGAAGGGAATCCTTGAAGGTCAGAAGTTGCAGCCTCTCTGGGGTTCTGGAACCCCAACCCACAGCAGTCCAGTTTCACCCTGCCAGAGGTCACTTCCCAGGGCTGCTTGTCACATTAATAGGGAGACATTCCACCTGAAATTGGATCAAGATTCTAGCTGTTCAACTTCTACTCCTTAGTCTTGGCTTAGCCCTTTAAAGCTGCACAGAATAAATCTGCCATTCAATGACAGCCCTTCAAATTCCCAAATATTCCCACCTTCATCCTCTTCAAAGACTTTCCTTTCCCAGGTTCTCTCATCTGCCTTTCACAGTTCTCTCCTGACACCCCTATATTACCAATAAACATTCACATCCCCATGTTGTCTGCCCAAAGCACAGTATGGCGACCCTTCATCTCTTTCATCTGTATTTGATCATGTAAATGAAATATTATTATTATTATTTTCTGTATTAAGGATTGAACTCAGGGCTTCATGCATGCTAAGCACATGCTCTACCACTGAACTACACACCATCCCAGAGCATATTGATTTTTTTAATATCTGACACAGGTAGCTCAAATTTAACCCAAAGTCACTAACTGGCACCCCCTCACCCTCTAATGTGCTCTTAAACCAGGGCCACTCATACTATAGTCGTGGAAGTTTTAATTACTTCAGTTTATTAGTACATGTGTTGTAGTGCACAGTGTCTACATTCCTTGTGGGAAGCTGCTACACTACATTCCACATCGCAATTCTTTTTTCATCCCTTGTCCCTTCCCTCCCCTGCTTCATTTCTTGATCCCTTCCAGCTGTGAGTGATCCAGCTCCTTACTTCCTACAATCAACTTTTTACGTTGCTCTTTATTTTTACTCTGGGTTTCTCATATAAGAGAAACAATGTGATATTTAAGCTTATGTGATTTATTACAGTTAGCATTATGCTCTCAAGTGCATACATTGTGGAAGCTTGTTTTTCTTTATTCTTTTCCTTTCTTTCCAGTACCAGGGATTGAACTCAGGACTTTGCACTTGCAAGGCAGGCGCAGCATCACTGAGCTAAATCCCCTGGAGACAGGGTAGAAGTGTCCTTTCAAGTGCTGCATCTGAGACTGTGAAGTGGAGCCCTCCATGTCAGCACATGGGCTGAGCACAGAAGCGACTACGCCTGTGAAGCACTCAGTGTTGTCACTGGTGCAGAAAGATGCAGGAGGAACAGGCTCTAGTCACCCTGTGGGGCTCACATTGTTTCACGCTCACCTGCTGTGTGCATTTGCTCAACAAATATTTATTGAGCATCTTTTATGAGCTGGGCTGAGTTCTAGGTGCTAGGAAGAAGGCAATAAATGAAGCTCGAATTTCTTTCCCAGCAGACCTTGTACTTCAGCCGGACAGGAGAGTCGGCTATTGTTTACTTTGTGAGTACTGACAGCCAGAGTAATTGTAGGAAGTGAACAAATCATGCAGGTGTTTATGCAATTTATTTGTTTTTTTGTGGTGCTGGAGATTGATCCTAGGGCCTCATGCATCCAAGGCAAGCATTTGCCACTGAGCTACATCTCCTCATAATTTATTTCCTAAACACACGAAAAACAATTTATCTTACTTCCCTAGGCTGGCATCAGGAAATATCTAGAAGGGAAAGATACTTTAAAACACTCACCATGAAGAACCAGTTTTGACTGGAAGATAAATAAATGCCAGCGTATTTCTTCCTCTCTCTTCTCTAACTAAACTGCTTCCTGTTTTGAGTTAATCTTAGATTCTGAAGGGGGTGGGGTAGTCTGAGTTCGGGCAGGTATCATTTTGGTTGCAGATACTTGTGCAGTCACTTATCTTTAGCACTGAACAAAGGCTGTTCCTAGTTGATGTGGAGCTGTCTACAGAAGCTCTGCTTCCTTCCCCCAGGGGCCAGTCAGCAATGTTACTGGTTTTAGACACCAGGAGCACAAAGCCAGATGTGTGTATTTGCGAACATCATTTGCATATGTCCACACAGAAACCTGAGGCCTGAATACTCTATATTCCAAATAACCTTACATATTCTGCTCCGTACCTGAACAAGTGTTATAGTTCTTAAAAGTCTTTGTTTTACTGAGATGATTTCTCAGAAAGCTGCACATTGCTGCACCTTGGGAAGTGCACTGGGGAGCAAGACAATAAAGAGGAAGCCAGTGTTTCCTGCAGCTGTGGCAGAAAGCTCTCCTCGCTGGGGGCTGCATTATCTGTGTGTGTGTGTGTGTGTGTGTGTGTGTGTGTGTGTGTGGCCTGCCCATGCTCTCCTACTGAGCTGCGTCCCCGGCCCTGCATCATCATTTGATACAGAAGCAGCAATATGTTGGTCTGCAGAAGTCTTTGAGAAGCCACACCTGCTCCATGCCCAGCAGCAAGCACTGGTGGCAGGACCTGGTCTGA